GGAGGAGGAGAGGAGGGGAGGAGGAGAGGGGACAAGACAGCAAACATGACCAGAACCAGAGGGACAGTCTTCATAAAGGACTCCTGGTGCTCAGGTGGCAAAGTGGGACCCAGAGTCTAGGACAGAGATGTTCTCCTTATTTCTTGTAACTGTCAATATTCTTAGCATCAGAAACCAACTCTGGCTAAACCAAAAAAGAACTGATTGAAAAGCACCTGGTTTACAGAAGCACGGGGAAATCTTGCGAAGCAGCAGGAGAAAGGGTCAGGAATTAGCAAGTCCAGGTAGCTGCAGGTCCACAGCCAAAATCTCGCTGGTGAGGACATGGCTGTCACGTTTTGTGCAGCATCTGCTGCTCCCAGAAACCAGTTATTGCTGTAGCCACTGCTGTGGACTCCACTTCTCTTGCTGCTTTGGATCAGCAGCCACCAGTTCAACACTCTGGGGCTGGCGTGTCTGACTGGTTAAGCCCAGATCACATCCTTGTACTCTAGCTGCAAGGGAAGCTGGAAGAGGGAGGCTGGAAGGGCGAGGCTGGGTGGAAAGACTCGACTCTTTGGCTTCCTTAAAGGGAGGTGGAGAGTCAAAAAGGCCCACAAATGTCCACCATTTTCCTGCTCAGAACCATGTGGTTTCCCAAAGGAAACCCACACTGTTTAGCCAATTTGAGATGTTGTTTTGAGAGCACTGGAGTACTGGTAAATTTAAACACACACACACACACACACACACACACACACACACACACACACACACACACACACACAGCCTGCTCTGAAAAAATTAACATAAAGCTGAAAGATAAATTGGCTGTTACGATAAACTTCCTGGAACATGTTATTTTAAGATGAATCAGCCAGTCATCTATTTACTGACCTTTGTGAACAAAAGGAGAAGAAAGAGGGTGTTCTAAGACGATTGCTCTTAACGAAGAATAGAATGGTAGTTTGTACTTCTAAAGTTACAAATCTCAGTTTGAATAGAGTTATCCATGACTACCAGTCAGCAGTCAAGGTTTTTAGAGACTAGAATCTTATTTTGCAGGAATTACACCAAACTTTGAAAGCCAGATAATCTTGGAAAAGGACTTTTTACAGACAACCTCATAAAGTTTTATGGTTACTAAATATAAAACAGGATTGCATTTTTGCAAATATTTTAGCCTACAAATTTAGCGGAAATTTTAAAAATTAGGGCTAGCTCTTCATCTTTTCTGTTGACATCAGTAGCTCTTTTCTCTATGGTCTGCAGTTAGGAGGACATGCCTTTCCAAGCCACAGAATTCCATGAGTCAGGCAGGCCTTAAGGAAATGTATGACTTGGTAAAATCATAAGGAATTCTGAGGCTGTACTGTTCTCCTCTTATACAATGGCTGTTCATAACCTAAAGTTATTCATAGAGGCTCATCTTTATTGGGGGAATTTTTAATTCCCCATTCTCATTTATATACTGTGGGTA